AGTATCAGGATGGGTATGATGACCCCTAACCTACTGTCAGCTTTGCCCTCAACATTGTCCAGCACTCATTGAAAGTATAAGCTGTAGCAGTACTGTTATGACTAGATACCAAGCATCAAGACATAGACAAGGGAATGATGATGGTTTTCTGCATGCTACAAACTTTTCTTTGCAAAGGAATTACAAAGGGAGACATTGAAAACTCTTCTACCCTTCTCAAACCACTCCATTAACATGCATGAATCTCCCATCATGTGTTGTGCCTTCAGCATAAAAGAAAAAACCTTCTGTATTTATGAGCTCAAGTTTAGCAGCAGCAGAGAGCAAATAAGAATAAATATCTTGCCTACTCTTTCCATACCTCAAAGGAAATTCATGTATCCACCACAGCCAACGATCTCCTAAGGTAACATACAGTTGATATCCTATTGCAACATATGCAGAAACTTTTATTTTTATTTACTTTAAAATGAATGCATGTACCACAGTTCCCACAGCAGTTCTGCTGACATGGTGAACTGACAGCAGTTCACAAGGTGCAACTGTCAGAGATTGCCACAATCCAAACACAACCCAGCTGCTCATAAGCTGATGATAGCTCTGTGAAGGTGATTCAGGGAAATAGCTTTTTCATTCTGAAGTTCATCCAATACCAACAACTGTCTTATATTTTTCAACACAATTCTCTGTGGTAACTCTTTCTCACTTATTTCTCCCTCCAGAATAATAGCCATAGACTTGAAAAAGTCACAAAGCAAGCAATTCTTGTTTATATTTCCTTATATTCAGCTGCATTTCTGTAACAGGACAACAGGTTATACCGCACGACTTTCCATCTTAGCCCTCTGATACTGGTCTTGCCATACTAAGACTTGCAAATGCTTGCTGATGCTGCTGAGCTACACAGTGAAGTGTGTATTCTGCGGTGGCTTTATCTTTAAAAAGAAAAACACCACAAATTTTATAGACGCTTAGTAACGACATAATCCCACTATGCAGCAAACATAGGCCTATTATCAAAACTGAATTTTCTAATATCCTATTTTAATACAGGAACACGAGACAAAGGCAGCTCTCGCTATCTGGGTCCCACCGCCCTACTGACACTGACTGCAGAAAGGGACCAAGGATGGCTCAAGGTAACTCTATTCCTTACAAGTTTGCCAAGGGAACACTGACAGCCAAAGGACTCATTTGTGATTCCATCACTTTCCTGCTCAAAGTATTTCTTTTTTTTCCGTAACAACCACATGCATAACTTAAGTGAGATGCACAATGATCAGCCAGCCAGCAAGTTAAGGTTTGGGGCCTCTCAACAGTGCCCATCACCATAAATTAAATGTTAACGTAGTAAAGGACACTGAAAGAAGGGTTAGATTAGGAAACTTCTGAAAACAAGACCAATATAAAAAAAAGGGAGTATAATTTATACACAGAAAATGGTTAGATCAAAGTCATCGCCTCTGAGCCAGTATATGTCAGTGAATAAAGCTATACTAGCAAAATTACCCAGGCAGGGAGCTAGAGTACCCTTACGTAACAGAACAGTCATACCCTTCTCCTCACCATCTCGTATCATTAAGTCACACAACAAACTGTAAAAGAAAGGAAGCCCCTACAGCTAAACTGACTTACAACTAAATTGACTTAAATTGACTGCTTGCCAGTTACAGCTCTCTTCCAACTCTTCCTCCCAAAAATATGCAAAGCTCCCGAAGCAAAAACAGCCTCCCACATTAATATATAGTTATAGCTATAATTACATCAGAAGAGATCTATCAATCTAAGAATTTCAATATGCTCTACAAAGAGAACATTCATAGTGGGAATGCAATGATTCAATGTGTAGCTTTATGGATAACTGTGGAGAAAAATCATCTTCCCCCTTGAGCAAAATGAACCACACGAGTGAAAGTGGCTGTTCTGTAATTAACTACACCAAGAAGTTTTACTGGTATGGCTCCATAATCCAGCTGAAAAATCTGGACCAGCAAATGCCTGGGGTGGCTAGAAAACTCTATAAGCACTTTTTCTGTATCAGAAGCACATAAATCAATTCCAGCTCACCACAGATAATTTTTTTCAGGAAACCATTTAATTATCCTATCTTTCTTTTTCCCTTTAATCGATCGATGCCAATTCACTATTCAGAGCTAGCACTCCACTTTAATCTTCCTGGTAGAAGAGCAGCACCATGTGATAGCTCTCATACATCTGCATCAAGAGTAGCAGTGTATTTTTCTGAAAACAGTTTAGGGCTAATACAGAAACAACTTTCTGTAATATGCACTCAATTTACAAGCCCCTAAAACCACAACAAGAAGCCAGGAAAAGCAATAATGTGTCTACAGAGAAATGTCACGTCTTCTAGGAAAACTTTACTTCAAGATATTTTAAAATACTGAGCAGTATTAAAACTCATCTCAGCTCTGGTAATCCTTTGCGTGAAAACAAGCTGGCTGAAGCCTCTTTGATTATCCTATATAAAAACAGTGTGATCATTTTAGCATGCCATTCATTAGAATATGGCATTCTAGAGAACTTAAAAGCTTTCATTGATATTTTTCCTCCAAACGGATGTGTGAGCCACGTGCCAGTGAAGACACTTATCAAGTGACTGGAAGTAGCCGGGAGGACAATCAGAGTTAAAATAAGCAGAAATATTTTGGGAAATAATAATGTTTTAGCAGGGTCACATTTGTTTCAGACCCAGAACAAACCAAGCAAAGCAGGTTTGAGTACAAATTGACAAATATGCATACGAGAGTGCTCTAAACAGCTTCTCTTTAACTAGAAAGGAGTTTTCAGACTGAAACAACAGTTTGTCTCCTGCTATAATAAAGAATACAGAGAGGACAGAGCTTGTCATGTTGAATAAAAATGCTTAATTAAGTCTCATTTCAAAGCTTGCCCCAAGCAAACTGATTTTCTTATCTATATTTCATTGAAATACCGGTACAATACAAGAAGCATCAAACAACAGCTTGCGTTACCAGCACAAGCGTTCAATTCTTTTATTGGAAAGAACTATTGGTTTACTGGAAAGATTGTGTTTAATGTTTACTTTCTACCTTTTGTGGTATCTGAAATGCTGTTTAGCAAAGCACACATCATGTCTCCTTCAATGTGGTGAGGATTTAGGATGCGAGCTGACCGCTGGGTCATCTTAAATTGAGTTTCCAGTTCCAGGAAGCTTTTGTCTCCAGAAAGTACAGTGAAAGGAATTTGCTTGGGCAGGTGCTCATCCAGACGACCAGCCTGTACAGAAACAAATGACAAGTGTTGAACTGAGATCATGTTTTTATCTCGTGGGGTTGGGCTAGCTTTTTGTAAGACAGGTCTATCATAGGAAAGCCTTCTACAGCACCTTACCTCTGCTTTTATGGTCCGATGCACATTATACCACTGTGAAAGGTATTATTTCAACAGTTTGACACTGCGTTTATTCTATACATATGACAATAGATATAGGAAATGGCTACCAGAACAGTACAGATGGAGTATGGAACAAATTCCTGAAAAGCAGCGTTTCAGAACCATCTCCACATAAAACAAGTCATCTGTGCAGAGCTTTTTAAGAATCATAAAAAAAGCGTAATGTAACATACAAACACTGTTGCAAAACACGCTTATATCGTATAATTAGATTCTCAAGTAGTTTTATCTAACTGATAAAGCACTATATTAAGAACATGAGTCCCCACGGCATCCCAGATTCCTGTCCTTCACCTGCATCTCTCCCAGTGCAGCCAGAGCCCTAGGTCTACTGAACAGAGGCACTGCGCTCTGTCAGCCCAACAGGGTCTCTGAAACTGGCACCCATCCAACTCCATCTTAAAGATGGCTCTAGATTTGGGCTACTTGAAGAGAGGCAGGAGTTACAGTTTTTGTTTCAGAGAAAAATGTAAGAATTGTGGTTTTTTATTCTTCGTTCCCTAACTAGCCCCCTTTTCCTCCACAACAGACTGATGTCGTACTTGTGCTAACTTTTGTATTCCTACGGAAAGAAAGAAAGAAAGAAAAAAAGAGTAAGTCACTTCAACTGTCTGCACTCAATTCAGTGACAGGTTGTCGTGGTTTTAACCCCAGTTGGCAACCAAGCACCGCACAGCTGCTCGCTCATCCTCCCGCCCAGTGGGAAGGAGAGAATCGGAAGGGTAAAAGTAAGAAAACTCATGGGTTGAGATAAAGACAGTTTAATGATTGAAATAAAATGATATAAATAATAACAATGTAATGAAAAGGAAAACAGAGAGAAACAAAACCCAGGAAAAACAAGTGATGCAACTGCTCACCACCTGCGCCCAGCCCGTCCCTCAGCAGCGTTCACTGCCCCCCAGCCAATTCCCCCCAGGTTATATACTGAGCATGACGTCATATGGTATGAAATACTCCCTTGGCCAGTTTGGGTCAGCTGTCCTGGCTGTGCCCCCTCCCAGCTTCTTGTGCACCTGGTAGAGCATGGGAAGCTGAAAAGTCCTTGACTAGTGTAAGCATTACTTAGCAATAACTAAAACATCGGTGTGTTGTCAACATTATTCTCAACCTAAACCCAAAACACAGCACTGTACCAGCTACTAGGAAGAAAATTAACTCTATCCCAGACGAAACCATGACACAGGTTTTCATTCTTTTTAGTGGACACAGAAGTCACACGAAGAGAATCTAAGAATCTCATCTGTAATTAGTACATAACACCAATAGCAGATATCATCTGCCACTCTTCTCTGGGTACAGAAACACAACAATAAAGCATGCAATAACTTACATGAACACAGAGCGCAAAGTCTGCTGCTTCTCTTCTGGTACCACAACGTGGATGAAGAAAGAAGCATCCAATCCTCTTAAGATAATTGTAAATTTTGCACTGCACTGGAGGTTTCCAGTTGCTGTATCCTCCTAAACAGTGAAGAAGGGGAAAAAAATTAAAAATGCAAACAAAAAACCCCCCAAACAAACCAGAAATGCCACCATGAATTAAGAATGCAAGAAGGCAAAATCAAAGATAAGTCTGGCTTTAAAGACAGAATTTATTTTGACCAATGTAAAAGCTAAAATAAACATATAACCAAAATCCCAAAGGAACCCTTGTTCTTGGGTTAGAAAGCAAAAAAGGAAAAAGTAGCTAAGTAGGCAGCCTGATCCTACACAAAGCCTCTCATTCAATTCTGTATGAATTTTTCTGCTAATCCTGAAAAATTTATCTTCTAGAAGTCATGTGCGTTTAGACACAAGGACATAATTTTTCCAGTTTTAAGCACAGTTATGGTTAACGTGCAGAAGCAGAGGAGCTCTGGGAACATAGTACAAGTAACAGAAATGCTTCTCTTAAGGAATCCTGTACTAAGGTAATGCCCAAGATTATTTCCAACACACTCTATAACTGCCTGACACATCACATGCCAGAACTCTTTAAAAGAAGATCCAAGAACTTGAGCAACAGCTGAAACAAGTGCTAGAGTCCTGACAAACACTTGGATGCAGTCAAGGATAAGGAAAATGAGGCTACAACTTGGGGGGGGTGGGAAATAAGTGCAGGAATTTTCTCAACAGTATCCTAAAACATGCAGTTACTGGCTGAGAAAATAGTTGGATAGAGACGAGCTGAGTAACAGGCCTGCTATACAGATAAAAAGAATACCAGGCTGAAACAGGTTGCAAGGGAAAGGAAAGGAGCAGCAAGTCTCAAGAAGAGAGGGAAAAACAGAGGAGCTTGCAGTTACTATGACAACATAAAAAGAAAAACAAATGGAAGGACAATTTGAAGGGAGTGAATAAGAAATTCATGACATTCCCAATTGCTAAGAAATCATGGGTCTGCAATGGGGAAGAAAAAAATGTTGCTTTATCTACCAGATGGTAGAGTGGCAGGATGTAAGAAAGGATTTGAATAGAAAGTGAAAGCAGTTATTGATGGCACCTCATGTGAAGACATGTGAAACCAAGGCTCAAGTAAATAGGCGTCAGAGGATTGTGTATTCCAACCTGCCCAACCCCAGTCTGACAAAGAAGTAGAAGCAATCTTCAGTAGATTTCTCCTGGGCTTTTTGGTTTTGGTTCCCCCCCGCCCTTTTCAACCTAATGTCTATAAGAGGGTATCAAAAATTATCTCAAAGCTCAAAGATTTAGCAACAGACTACACAGGAACAATTTAGGGGTATCTGTGAGAAAAATAGTATTTGCAAGTTGTTCTCATCTGTTGTGACAGCCTGGGTCACTGCTATTTGGGAAATAGCCAACCCTGGCTTTTGGCTGCATAAATGTACAACATAAACATTTGACCAGGACAGCTGAAAACAATGACAGAACTGTATTTACTCTGACGGAGCTAGACCACAAATGGGTGAAGAACAACTGAATATCTGAAAACAGAAACAATACAGAGCCTGGGCAATACAATGGAGGAACTCAAAGCAAAGCTAAGGCTGTATTAGCAATAGGAATAACAGAAATAACGCAGAAGTATCATATAAAAATAATAGTAATAAAATTCAGAAATGTTGTTTGGGAAATGCAGAAAATCAGAAGAGACAGGGATGTCGCTATATTTTCACAGGCTAAACAAACAAGAATAGCATGCATCAAATAACTCTGGAAACCATTATTATGAGAGGGCACCTACAACAATAAATCCAGATGTAACAATATAGTTAACACTAATAAACTGCTAAAGCATTCTCTGATATGAATATGGCCCGTTTTAATCACCATTAACTCTTCAGCATGGGTTTTTCAGTTCAAGTGCTCCAGGAGCCATTCCCACAAGGCAGCCTGCATGCAGCAACCCGGTTTGGGAAGCAAAAAATTGAGTGGCACTGACATGGGCTGGGCTGTGCCAGCAGGCACCCGTGTTTGGAACATCCCTGGGCACAGTGTCTTAATCTTACCCAAAGGTACCTCTGTGCTAGTTATCGTATTAATAGAGGTTGCTAACAATAGATTAGTAACACCAAGACTGTACTAGGGATTATTTCTCTTTCTTAGATAGGTCAGAGAAGAGACATTTCTGACAACAATACAGTTCAGACATTCCTGTGTTCAATTATTTTTTTCTTACTGAATCAAAACAGAGCATTTTAACCTTGGAAAATAGTAACAGCACAGAAGACTGACATAACAAACAAGCTTGGGTCAATTAATGACAAACCAGTTTTGAGTAAATTAAATAGAATAACAAAGTATGACTGAAAGCAAGTGTCTGAATTCAAGTGGGAAAAGTTTGACATAACTGTGAAGAATTATTCTTCGCTAAATAATTCTTTATAAAACCCAAACAGAGTAGCTTTGGACTTTAGATGTCAAACAGGCCTGACATTTCTTCAAGTCAGATTCCTAATAGTTTCTTATTTTTATCTGTAGAAAAAAGGAAAAAAAAAGTGTTTTTCCAATGCCAAGTGGACTGAATAATTATAGAAATAAACAACAAATCTTCAGCAATTAAAAACCACAACCAAACCCCAAATCACAATAGCCTTAGAAGTCAAGGAGTGCAGAGGTGAAGTGAAATTGTGCCAGAAGTCAAGCTGGGCAAAGCCTCACAAAAGATAGTAAGAACAAACAACAGGTTGTTCAGCCATATAGAAAGGAGAATATAAATAAATGGAGCAGCCAGGTAGCAAGGATGAAATAGAAATCCAGGATGATTAGGTATAACTGAAACCCTCAAAATCAGTATTTTCTGTGGCTTTGTGTGCGTATGTGCACGTGCACAAGAATACTGTTACTGTACAGAGAGGCCAAAGGCTAGGGAATGACAATACAGGTAACGATACAGAAGCAATGCCTGAACAGAACACAAAACTCAGGAGCATTTCCCACTTTAACAGAGAAGACCAGAGGATTCATCCCCAGAACTCCTAACAACCAGACATTAGACTACAGGTCCAGGAGCACAGTTGACTGTTTGAAGAACTTACACTTTACATTAACAGACATACTTGCTCTGCCTTCATCAGCTAACTGGAATACCTGTTTCTAAGAGGAAAAAAAAAAAGTGATTCAGGCATCAACAGGCCTTTCTGTCCAACCTCAGCAGCATGAAAACTCTCAGCTTTCAGGATGTTCTTGATTATCTTTTAAAGGAAGAGATAATAAAGAACATTAAGTAAAGAAGTGCAGTGCAATGGTGTTTACTATGTGTAAAACACACCTGCCAATTCCTGCAAGTCTGTTAAGATGATGCCTATGTTTCAGGCAATAAATATTTTGAAACTATCCCTTATCTAGACTTTACTGAAGTATCCAGTGTACCACAGGCAAAATAATTATAAAGGCAGATACAGAGAAAACCAGTAGAAAAAGCGTGAGGTGGACAAGAAGTTGGTTGAAGAATAGTCAGGCAGGAAAAGTATCAAGTTAAAGGGATGCTATTGGTAGACTTCGCAAAGAGTTTTCTTACAAACCCGTAACAATGAGTTCCATCAACCACCTTGTACCACTACTGGTACCTTCCAGACGTGAGATACACATACTGATGTACAGGATGACCAGGGACATCCTTAAGGAGCAAGCCAGAGACGGAACAAAATTCAAGTACAAGAACGTAAAATCATGCCTTTTAGAACTAAAAAGTAAAAGAACATTATGGCAAGGACTTGGGATTTAGAAAGAAAATAGTCTCTGAGTATTATGGCTGTCCTGATAATTATGAAAACCTAGTAGTTTTCTTAGGCTGACACAGCCTAAGAAAGTTCAACAGGGAGGCCAGAAAGACTCCTAAACCATTCAGCAATTCTGGAACAATATTCTACAAGGGATAATAAGAGCAGAGGAGGTTAAGACTGAGTTAGAAAAGTTCAAGAACATTTCTATTACATGGTGCCCCTGACACTGTGACTTAAGAAGCCCTAGTCGCTGCTTGTTCCTGTTCTTTATTCTCTCAGATTCAAAGAATCTCTGCTCAAGTATTTGTGTGGACTTGTTAATCTTATCTTCCTATTTCCTTCAACCACTTTTTACCTTGAAAGCCCCAGATAAATGTCCCTTGGTTCAGGTTAGCTGGCAGCTGCGAGAATAAGCTTCCCCAGTTGTCCAGATCCACCAACACAATGTGAGTCATGGTACTCAGGTAGTCAAGATCAGGAAGTTCACCATCTTCAATGGGATAAAAAGGACGCATTTAAAGTTCACCTGACTTTCTGGTCAACCAACATACATCAACTTAAGATACACTTTTGAAAATTCATGTATTCAACTGTTCTATAAGCTAAAAGTTACAAAACATGATCTTATTTGGCGATTGCATTGCTTTTAAATCAACTGAAATAGCATTTAGTAATGCATAAATCAGACAAAGAAAGTAGAATCTAGCTATACGACGGTGTAGAGCTGGATAGTTTTGTGGTAGGCACAGAAAGCTGTTGTCCTGCACGGAAACATTTTAATAGTCCATTTAATATTCAGCTGTGCACCCCCTACTACGGCAAGTCTCTGTGACATTTAATTGCTTACATGCATAAAAGCACGTAAAATGTCTAGAGACATACTTTTTCCTGTATATCTAACATAAATGTCAACCTTTTAATCAAAAGTATTATGACACCATGAGTAATTAAAAACACTTCCAGTTTTTGAACACAAGGTACACCTTCAGCATTCTTGATGTCATTCTTAGAAGTGACATGAACTTCCAAAATATTTGCATGCTTAAGGCAAAAAACCTAATACATACTGAGAATATAAATTCTCAGCTGAAATTATTTTTTGGCAAGCTAAGGAAACTGAGAAGATGGTGTTATAATAGGACTTCCCACACAGAAAGCACTACCAGGCTCATAAATATTTATACATACAAAGAAGGCAAGTTTCTCCTGAATGTGTGTGTAATATAGACCACTTTTACATTTCTAGGACTTAGATCTCTATTTGGGGTCCTTGACTGTCCTCTTCCTTTTAACACCAAATTATGCTCCCAAAAACTTTGAAAATTAAATGTTTTAGACCCAGGGTTCTCACATCTGCCTACTTTTTGTTTTATAAAGACTTCATGCAGACAGTATATAGCAATAAATCGTTGAGTCCAAGTTCTGGAAACTCAAATACCGAGAATTCAAGATGCAGCTGTCAGAAATAACAAATATTAAATTCTGAGCTGATTTATAGACTGGATGTAGGCAAATGGCGCTACATACTTGTACTGACACTGAAACAGAGCGTGTTAAAGACAACAATATTTTTCTAATGTTAAAAAAATTTCTACAAACCTTCACCAGGTTCTTCAGAGTGTGCCAAGTTCTCCTTTTTTTCTTTCTTTCCCTGTATTGGTCCATGCAGAGGAGATGACTGTGGTCTTTCCTGAGTCTTGGATGGAGATGCTTGAAATTTTAGCTTGTCAGGTTTTCTGTCCACACAAGCCCCACTTGCTGTGAACTTGAATACTGTATTTTCTGATTCTGATGCAAGACTTGATAGATCAGGTTTCTGCAGGAAGCAGTGTTTCATGTGATAGTGCTGATGTGCGCTCTGAAGATCATCAAAGTTTTTGTTGCACGCAGCACATCTAACAACATACATCTCGTCCTTATGTTTCAGTGACGTGTGACTGTTGAGATGACTGTTCAAATCAGCAAAATTTTGTGCAGTTGCAGAACAGAAGCAGCATCGAAACCATAAGTTTCCTTTTTGCAGCATGGCTTTCTGACAATTCACATAATCGTTCCTCCTGTTTATTCTGGAGACATAAGTTGTCCGGCAACCACAGGTTAAACGGTCTCCTTTTTCTACCGGGAGGAAGTCCTCCTCTTTTTTTATTGATACTTCCATCTGCTCAGGCACAAATGCATAGTCCATGCTATGAATCTCCTTATAATGGATTAGAAATTCCTCTTGTGTGTCGAAGAAGAGATTACCACAAAGGCCACAGAAGTATTTAGTCTGTACCTCCTGGTTATGATGCTCTTGGAAGTGTCGCTGTAGAGTTCCTACTTTCCGAAAGTGATTTCTGCATAAGCCACAGCAGTATCTGTGAAATGCATGGCTTTCTAAGGACATGCAATGTTGTTTAACGCTCTCTTCAGATTCAAACATCTCCTCACAAATGCGGCATTGCCATTTTCCCAGAATAGGACTTTTTCCAGGGGAGAGCTCCATAGGACTAGGAATGCAATCTTTCCTTTCACCTGCAGAAATGCACGCTGCGTCAGAAGCAGATGGCATAGGTTCATCTTCTAGAGCTTCTTGCTCATAATAGTAGCTATGTCCACCATGAAATTCAGTCACGTGTCCCATGATATCCTCTTCTCTGAGATCTACAGAGCATGCTCTGCACCAGAGAAGAAAATTAGTCAAGTGTGCTCCCCCATGGAATCGACTCATATGCAGGCGGATAATGCTTGAATTTTCAGCAAGCTTTCCACACACAGCACACTTGTGACAGATCCTATTTGCTGATAAAATATGCTTTTCTACTGACTCTTCTGTAAAAAACTTTTGAAGGCATTCACAAAACCAGGCTTTTACTTTGCAAGCACTACCTTGACTTTGGTTTGCTACATGATCTTCATTTTTATCTTTTAAATCACAAAGAAGGAGTAGACCCCCTTTCACCAGTAGACTCATTCGAAGTCAAATGTCTTTTAAGCAGTGGTCTTGACCGATCCACAATATGGCATAAATGAGACTGATTTTTATTTTTTCCATTGATATGACAGAACATCAAGATGGACTCTTCCATTGTAGTAAGAACTTTAATGTTATGTTGAGTGGTTTGCTTATGCTGGGTGATCTGATTCTTATCAGCAAACAGTTTGTCACAGTTCTCGCAGTGACCTTTTGTTTTAAATATCTCTGCAACTTGGGAGATGCTCTTCTTTGACAGTGCCACGGGCCCAGAATTACGACAACGTGTTCTAGAATGGATTAAAAAAAAAAAAAGATGTTATATTGTAACCTGAAACATTTTTAAACTTTCAGATGTACTTTGAAATATTACCTAGTAGCTACAGCCATTACTGCATGGAAATAGCATCCTCTGTATACTTTAACTCACCTACTAGCTTGCCAACAAAAACACGCAATGCCTATCTAGTCCCTGCACTTTAAAGAGAATTAGGTGCTAATTTCCAAAACTAGCACTTAGACTGATGCTTATGTTGTTGACTCAGTACATTTTAGAAATCAAATGCTGCCCACTTAGAAATAGTGGAATGGAGACAGAGTTCTGTTGTTCTGTTACAAAAAGTAACAAAAAGGATATAGACGTCAGCATTCTGCAGTGGATTGTGTGAGGTAAGGCGGCGTAAAAGACATGGAATGGGGGCAGTTGTTTGATAGTTTACTCAGGAAGTCAACATTCAGATGGTCCTAGATGCCCTGAAATCCACTAGCACCACTAAGAACATGCCTGCCTACGTGACAGTGTGCTCCCCTTCCCTCCCCTCAACCTGACCTTTATCTCCTTTACAGGAGATTTGGCTCCTGTGGCCATCTCCCCTGGCTCAAGCAGTAACTACCAGGGGCAGTCTTAATAGATGCTGGTCGGATAGCTGCGTGTGGCTCAAAGTGGATTCAGGAGCCAGATAACAACACAATAGCCAAAGGCTATTGTGAGCAATGTGCCCACCTAACCACAGTGATTGGTATGCAAATATAACTGAGGCAATCATCTTACCCCCATAAATAGTGAGCAGCCCAAGAGCCCTGTGAGCTCTGCTGCACAGCAGCGGACTGCACAACAGGATCTCCCCTTGAGTAGGGACACCTCTCAAGGTTACTCCTTGAGGTTGAGAGATGCCTTGCTGCAACAGATCCTCGGTAAGTGACTAACAGCATGCTAAACTTTGAAATCTTAGCTAAGCGATATAGAGGATTGATTGTGCATATGTAATCCTTCAGACGTAAACCGCTGACCAAGTCTGGGACTAGGACTGGATCCAGCCACACCTAGACTCCTCTCTGAGAAGGAGTTTAGAAAGCAAACGGGTCCTTTCTGAACCTCATGACTCTGTCATGACTCTGAACCTCATGAACTGTCAGGGTCTCCCTGACAGTTTTACCTGACCCTGTCCCCTAGGCAGTAAATAATCAAGTGTACCTTGCCATCAAATCTTGTTAAACCACTGTTGCATTTACCACTGAACTTTGTTAACTCACTGTTTTATATCAATAAAGTATATTTTCGCTTCTCTCTACAAGTGAAGTGCACTCTCACTCCATCCGTGACAGCCTATCTGTTATCGATCTATGGATGTTCATATTAAAGACAGCTGTCTCTCACAAACCTGAAATGAGCCGTTAATTCCATATGTGAGCGTAGTATCTGGCAGCAGGATATACACTTCACTTGGAAGGGGACCTCTTTGCACAGAGATATCAGAAGGTTCTTTGCATAGGATGGGAAAGGTAGAGGAAGGCCAGCCTTCATTTCATCTATAATATGGAATGGCAGAAAGTGCAACTACATGTTAAAGAGTTCTTTCATAGTACTTCAGCTCTCAGACGACATAGTTACAATTGTACTCGTTTGTCACAGGGTTCAGAAAGCAAGTTACCACGTGTCACCTGAGTCACAGTAATTGTGCAATAGAAGCTTTAAGTAAAACTGCATTAATTTTTTAAACTTCTGTAACAATCGTATCTGAATCTGTTTGCATCTTGCTTTTTCATACTCCATGACTGACTCTACTTCCCTTTTCCTCCTTGTACAAGGTCAGGTCAGATATCTCTCCTAGGAAGGTTCTTCTTGACCTTCTTCCCCTCCATCTATCACCACCTGTCTACTCTTACTACATACACTTTTGTTTAAAGCCATAGTGCATTTAAAAAAAAGAAGAAAGTATGCAATTCATTTAACGAGTTCCCACATACTCTGACCATCTCTCTTTCCCATCATCAGTGTTAGTTCTCCTTAAATTTTTAGGTGCAGGACTTTCTGTTGTTCTGAGTACATACTCCATGTCTAACTCCAAGTACCAGCAGAATAAAAAGTTTTCTATTGAAAAGAGAACGGGAAACAGCTTATGAACTATATATTGCTGTTAATGTTCTGCATCTTAGGAAGCAAATTCTCTTTGAATTTTCTGTTTAGTAAGATGTGATCATCAGCAGGCAGTAATTTGAGGTTATGCCTTTCAACTAACTTCACTGCCAGATCTTACAGACCATGCTGATATTAATCATGAAGACCTACCAATGCAAAAGAAAAAATGGAGCACTTACTTTTTTTGTTCTGAGCTAAGGGCTATCCATCTCTAAAGAAGAAAACACTATTTTGTGCTTTTAATCTTTTCAAAGCAATAGCTACCCAGTAATCTTTTTTAAAACCTATGGCCTGATTTTAAAGGCATCTACAGTCAGCACATTCAGAATTAATAACCTATTTGAGAGTAAGAGTACATTAGATTTACAATACATAAGAGAACTCAGAACTGTGCAGCTGATTGTCACTTCCATGAAGATGGCAGTACTGACTCAACCTGCAGAAGACTCCTTCAAAGCCTGTCTTTACTGTGTAATTCCTGCAGCCACTCTGGGGGGAGGGCAGAAGTAGAAGATATAGTTATGAAGATGAGAAACAACTAAACCAATCCTTCTGGCCATGTAGGCTTATCCTGAAAGCCACACTATCTAGAATATGGCAGCTTCTTGAATAAGAAGTCAACTCCATCTATCTCTCATCTGTCTCAGTCATTTACCTAACATTAAAGTAAATGCTTTAATGCCTATTGCTTATGTCAAAGCTAAAAAGTCAGTACAGCTATGATGGTCATTAACCCTGTTTTCAAGACCACGACCAGACAGGTATCTTCTGTGGAATCTAGTAAGTATGGTTCAGGATGTTACCAGCTCACAACATAACCAGTATTTTAGCCTTCAGTAGCAATGCAGCCAGTGCAAGGCATCAGACCAGCAGCACAGTTCCAGCTAGGCAGGCTAAATTTGCAATTATATGGAGAAGAAACTTTCACAGGTCTT